CCCCCCCCCCTGTAATTTGCTTCCAATAAACTGTTCACATTCAGATGCTATATATAGATATAGACACGTACAATAATCCTTGACTTTATCAACAGCACTATAATAGAAATTTTGGCGACTCGTTGAAATATAATTTTTGGAGTCTTAAAGCTATGAAAAACCTGTTAATTTGTCTTCCAGATACAGCGGGAAAATTTGTGGAGTAGATTATATAAACGCTGGATTATTGTTTCTTGTTAACTCATAACTTACTAAATTGTTTAGCTTTCAACCTATAGAGGTGGTGCAGTAGCAGAAGGAATGCTGAGACTAGATGAAATAAGCGATGTAATGTTTAGGAAGCATAGCTTCAAAAAAAAAGGTTTAAAGACATACAACTCTTTTTGGAGCTTTAGCGTTAAAAAAAACAACTATTTCACCTGCTGACTGTTCGTCAAACTAATTTTTTTTTTTGGATTAAATTCAATTAAAGAACAGTTTTTCAGAAGAAAAAAATAACATGATTGACAGTCTTCGCTGAAGGTTGAGATCAAATAGTAAGAGTAATCAATTAAGGTATAACAGCAGTAGCTGCATCAATAATAATAAAATCTGGATATTTGAAAATAAGGCTTATTCGTTCTATAACTTGATGCACAAACCAATATTATATCACTGGTTTTTGCAGTCACCAGTACACCTTATTACCTTACATTTCCAGCTAATGAACAGCTGTTATATATCAGTGATATGTTCAGAATTGGTATACTTAGTTCCTACAGAAACAACTTTTAACTTGACCGATAAACCAGATAAACAGCTTATTTGAAACCATTTTCTGCCGTGAAAGACAAAAAGTTTAGTTGTTGTTTTCATCTATTTATTGAAATAATTTTAAATAAGAAAAATTTTTCATTTTAGTTTTTATTATTAATGCTATGCATAGAAGGGCAAATATATAATTGGTTCCAAAGAAAAGACTTTGTTTTAAAATCCGTAAAAGCTTTTTTGTACAGTATACTGCCAATACCAACATCAGTGACTGTTTTACTGTTTCGGGGAGGGGGAGTGGGTGGGTGAGGAGGGGGGGAAAAAAGAAAAAAGAAAACCGCATTTTCAATATTTCTTTCTGACTTAGATGTATAGTTTGACAGCAGTCGAGATCAAGTATGGCTTCAAGAATTATCGGCAAGAAAAGTTCACCGACATTTAATTCACACCGCACAAAAAAAATGTCCTTAATTTATCACCAAAACTGTTTCAGTTTTGTGCTGTTTATGTGATCAACAGTGCCATCAGTTGCCTTAACTTTTGGAACTGTATTTTTCTAACTTTTTTTATTATCATTTTTTTCCTAACAATAATTTTGTAAATTTTTTGATTGGGTTTTTTTTATTTTTTTTTATTTTGATTGACTATTAACTTTTGCAGATACTTTTTTTCATGCTTCTGCCCTTTGAATTCTGCTGTAATTTAACTGATTGAATACCAAGGAAAAACTGTTAGATGGTAGTAGCTGGTTGTATTTCTTATTTCCAATCTGTTTCCTACAAATTTGTACTTAAGTACACTTGTAAAGTACACTTATAATGAAATTAACATTGCATAATAAATTAAATTTTATTCAGCGTACTTGAGAGTTGCAAAAGTGAATCAAGCATAATCTACAAAAAAGTTAGCACTTATTTTCGCTCATATTTTTGTATATTTCGTTTTAGTTTATACTTTTGCTGCAGTTGATCGTTGGTAACAAATTTTACACTTGAAACCCTTAAGTTACGATAAAATAATATTTAAAAGTAATCTGTTGTCGTATTACTGATAGAAATCAGCAGAAAAACAAAAGCGTACATTTTAACACTGTCTACGTGATGCTGTAGGATTATACTTAGACTAAATGTAATTCGTCTGATTGAACTTACTTCATTCTTTTACGTTAGCGAAAGTTCATATAAAACTGTACACATGTAGTCTTCATTCAGTTGCCAGCACAGGTCAACAGGCAAAGTCTAAGCTTAGCTGAAGTAAAGCATTCAAAAATATTCAGCAATTGCATACGTAAGACTCGGCAAAGATAATAGATAACTTACGAGTTATACAGAATAAGGGCATTGAGAAGGGCCTCACATAGACCATTAATCTATAGTATCCAGGTCGAAGTAGCCAAAATCGTTGTTCTTACGCTGTAGTGAAAAACACTGAAAACATAGTTCATCTGGAAAGCACCATTGAGACAGTTTTTGAGCTAAAAGTGCGAAAGACATACGAAGTATTGCGTTCTGGCTTAACATTTGAAGCAGGTAAAAGCAGTCGCTGCTTTAGTGTAATTCTGAATTCTGTAATACGAACATGAAAAGAAACCTTTTTTTTTTCTCTATCAAACCGGTTTTTTCCTTGTTCTTTCCAAAAAAAAATGAACAATAATAAAAGTGATTTTTTCCTTTCAACTTCATCTATTCATTCAATGAGCATCCATATATTTACTTTCACACCTGAGTACTTCCTGCAATAAAAAACTTTTTTTTTTTTTGCTTTAGATATAGCTAAAAAAAAAAGAAAATTTTTATGGTTGAGATCAAAATTGGCAATTAGTTTTCATCATTTTTTGTTTCTTCTTTAGACAACGACATAGTTTAACGATAGACTGAAGTGAAGATGTGACACAAAAATGCATTGAATTTACCGTACATATCTCTTTCGCCGTAATTTGTTTTGTGCAAAGTTTTTTTTTCTTCCACTTAAATATTCTCATTAGTAAACAGAAAAAAAATTTTTTTGCTTAAGAACTCGATTTTTTTTTTGAGCCGACAGACACCAACAGATGTCTTCGTATTCGGGTCAAGAAACCGCATAAACAGTGTAAAAGAAGATTTTTGAAGCAGAAGTTAAAGTAGTGTAAAATTTTTTGAGCATATGTTATCAAAAGTTTAATACGGTTAGCGGTTTCACAAAAAAATTGTATTGAAGGCAGTAATTGTTTAACATTTATATCAGTTTATTCTCCATTTTTGTCGTCTTCTTTAATCAATTTATGACTGCATCCAAAACCTATTTTTATCAAACTTTCAAATACGATTGAGTTACACTGTCACTGATCAACCTCGGTATTTTGTATTATGCTTATATTACATTAAGCTTAATAACATAATGACATTGGTAATCAACAGTTCTCGTAAAGTTACAAAATTTCATGGTGACACTTAATAGTACTCGCCAATAAAAAAGCAGTTGAATAAATGAGATGATTAGAGATTTTATTAAGCAAAATTTTTGGGAACATTTTTGTCTTTGAATCCAATAATTTCTGTATGGTTTTCTGAGTAACAGATAATGATGAATTTAACTGGGTGACAGTTAAGTTTTTTTCTGGTAGCAGTTCTAAGGACTTTGTTGCAAATTGCCAATGTTATTGGTTACAAAATAAAACAAAAAATGAAGAAAAAAAACAATCACATTTCTCAAAGGGCGTCGGAAGAGACCGTTAATATTTGTTGCTGTAATCTGGATATAAATTCTTAAATTAGGATCACATTTGTGCAGTGAACAGAAATCTTGGAAGTGTATTGTCTTGGAATTGGCAGCTGTTAATCAGTGGAAATAATGATGATGACCCAGAATAGTGTTCTTAGAAGGAACAAGGAGAGGTGGGAGGGGGTATTGTTTAAGTTGGACGTTCCAAAACAGTTTCAATTCAAAATTTTCTTCCTCTACTTCTTTTTTACAGCAGCTTTCTTCCCCGAAACGTCTATTTAAGGTTCTTCTGAAAAAACTGTACAATTGTTGTTATACGCTATAAACTTTTTAACTTGTAATTTTCTTTTGCCTTTTATGAGCATTGTAAACTGCAGAAAATCTGGTTTTATACCCAAATGAATTCCACTGTACCTGTTTGTTTTTCCTCTGTTGTTTTTTTCTTCTCTTTTGGAAAGAAAAAAAGTGCGTAATGTATATACTGTTAAAAAAGTGCTTTTGATTATTGTAATATTTCTGGTATTTTAGGGGAAACAAAAAAAAAAAAGAAGAAAAATAAAGAAACAGAACAGAGAAATTTAATTTTCAGACAGAAAAATATTTGAAAGAATAACAGTTCTATGAACGTAACATTTCTTTTTTTTTCTTTGCAATTGCAACAGAATTACCGCTTTTGGGTCAAAAAGGAAAAAAGGAAGAAAAAACGAACAGATTTTAGCTTAGCTTAGCTACAGATCAACAATTATACACATTTCAGTTATCCTTAATTGTCGCCAATACTTTTTACTGCTTTATTTTTGCTGTACTTTAACCTGTTGCTGTTAAAGTTTAAATAAAATTTATCTAATCAGTTGATTAAACTGACGTCAAAATCAGTGCAGAAAGAGAACTAACACTGAAGCATACTTTCAGACGTTTAACACTATTGTTAAAGTATGACTAAAAAACTTATGAAAATTTTGACTTGTTAATGCTGGTCAATAATGTGAACTTTTTTTTTTCAGATTAAATTTTTCTATTAAAATAAATATTTCGAAAAAAAGTACAGTAATAATGTTTGATTATTGATAATTTTATAAGTAAAAATGTGAGAAAAAAATTTTTATATGTATATTCATCTGATTGGTTTTATTTATTTACTATATTCTGTGCAATAAAATCTCTCTTAATAAACAAAGGCTTTCTGATAAAGTAATTAGTTTGCTTAATTTAATTCTTTGATTTATTTGACAATTATAAACGACTTTTTCTGTTGCTAAAAATTATCAGTCTTAATTCATTTCCTTTTGTTGATTGGCATAATCATCTTAAATTAATAAATGATTAGCTACAGATGCTTGCGCTATTGTTGGTGATCATTCCAGTATCGGCATTTCTTTTTCCGACTTCAAACTTGGACTGTAACTGTCCAAATAGCGCACCAGTAAAATGTCCATCACCACCTCCATGCAGCACTTCCGGGACCCAACAGACTGCTGATACCAAAGAAGTCTCAGAAGTCGATGTAAATGGTTTATTTTTGGTCAAAAATTATAATTTTAGTAGCTGGAATAAACTTATTCTTATAACTGTATTTGAATTAATTGTTTCTGATTATTTGCTAAAAGATAGATACTGCTAAATTTATGGTTTAACTGTATTTAACAACAGATACAAATTTTGTTTTTATTTAATGCTAAATAACTATTTTTCTCTTGATTAATTTTTTATTGCTACAAGGAGACAGTAACAATATTAAATTCTAAATGTTATAGAATTTTTATAATTCTATACGTAGAGTATTGAATAGAATTTATCAGTTGCCTATGTACCTTGTAAATCATAATTTTACAGATGTTTAACAGTTATAGGAATCATCAAAAAATGATAACCAGTCTGGAATTGTAACTGTTATGGACAAAGATTCAACTTTATCAACGATTAAAGAGGTTATAACCAACATTTTTAGTATCTTGAAGACCAAGCTTTAGCAATCATCTGTTGCAGGATGATGATACAGATCTATTAGATGGCAGTAGTCGTTCACTTAAGCGTGTGCCACGATCAGATGATTCTGTAACGCCACCAAACGAAGCATCAAATGCTACATCTAAAAGTGATAAATCTGCTAACGACGATATTGAACCACTAAAATGCAATAGTCGATCACTGAAAAAGCTGATGCTTGAGGTTCTCAAAAAAAAAAAAGCTAGAATTTTCTAAAACTATTTCTAGGCTAATATAACTATACCATTCGTTCAAAGTTCTATCAGAAAATATTCTTTGGCAGAACTATAAATGAAAATAAAGACTACAAAAAGTTTTAAAAAGTTTAAACAGTGGCTACTTTTTTGATGTTACGTTAATTTTCACCTAAAAGGTCTTTTCTGTTTTTATATGGTTAGGCAGAAGTTACCAATGACTAACATCTGCCGATCAAAAAATCATTAAAGGACAACAAGAAAAAGCGTCTGAGACTTGTTTCAATTTACTTACATACTATATCACGTAGTTGTCTGGTAAGAACAACTCAATTAACGAGTTGAACTGTTTGATATTTGAAAAACTTAACACAAGACATCAAAATTTTTTGATTTCGCAAGTCAATAAAATTTGGAGAACTCTCTCTGTATTTTTTAACCATTAACCTTCACATATCAGTCAGTTTGAAAAGATATTTGTAAAGATTTATCTTGATAAATCAATTTTGTATTTTTTCGTTACTTTTTTTCAGCTTTCTCTTTCTTACAGAATATTAATCATTCAACTTCGGAATCAAAGCGACAAATCAATAAGAAAGCTGAAGAACAGTTTGGCGGAAATGTTGATGTGATCTGTTCAAAGGGTCATTTCTCCTACATTTACAGTTCAGATTTGTACTGTGAAGCAGCAAAAGACGACGTAACGTGCATTGCATATCGACAAGCCTAAACAACAACAATGGCTGATAATTTGTCAACTTGTTGAACAACAGTTCAACACTGAATCTAGACTAATCTGCTATATTAAAGTTGCAAATTTGTTTGTCGTTTTGGAAAACTGCAAATAGTATTTGCCTGTATATTTAATCGGTATTAGTAAGGTACATTCAATATTTATCATCATTTTCTTTTCCTTTCTTTACACTTCATCAGCAGTTAAAGATTAAAAACAGAAG